ATGTATTATTGATGTTTATAATTTAATTTAGGAAAAATTTAAAAAAAAAATTATCCAATAAAAAGGAGAAAATCGATTGACTGGTTTTTTCAAAGCGGTTAACCGGTTTTTCGATTAACCGAAAAATTGGTTTTTCTCCCAAATCGATTCAGTTTCGATTCAAGAATTTTTCTAAACCGAAAAAGCGATTCAGTTCAAGAAAATAGTTAACCGTTTTTGAACACCCCTAAGTAAAACAAGGTTAATGAAAAAATTAATTAAATCACCGAAAATTCCAACATGGTACGACGGGAAATCCCATTGGGTCGAATTTCCTTAAGCCGCCACCTTTTTGACAAGTTTTTACTCTCCCCAGCTGATTGACTTTACTACCAATTCATCTTGCTGGAATTAAGGATTCCCAGAAACAACAACTTTCGGCACACCATGACCGTCAATGGCCTGTCTCAGTGTCAACCAAATGAGGAGCTATCTATAAACTATGCATTACCTCGCTTGTAATAAATAATACTAAAGCAATTTTACCCTTCTGCAATTAGAACCCTCTTTTTCTAATGTTGTGGCCCCGAAAAAGTCCAATGAAGCAGAGGGGATGCTCTCTGTCTCTACAATAATGGTAATGTCTTCGAGTGGCTGAATTTTGCCAGTTCGGAGGTGGTCACATCAAAGCGATCAGCGGCTAAAAACCCTTGCATCTTGATTATCTTGTACACAATCTAGCTTAGGTGTAGCTCGTCTACCACCATTTGTGTATTCAGAGATTATTCACAAACTGCTACTCTACCGAAAAAAGTTCAAGTTGGGAACTGCGTTCTGATCCCACAATCACATTGTCAAAATATGTATCAATCCCATCAGGGAAGTACCCGTAAATTTGTGGTCTGTTGGGTTGTGAAATTTAATGTTGTTGACATTGAACAGAAATTTACCTCTTGAAAGTGGCCTTAAGTAAGTTTCCTCCTTTATTGAATGCATCATAACATCAAACCCAAGCTTCTCTTTTAGAATTGCTACTATGATCCATTGAAGTAGATAGGAACTTTTTCCAGTCAAGTGCTTATATTTGATAACTCACAAAACTAAAAAATTAACCCATAAAAGTAACCTTTTCCTTCCTTCCGGCGAGCCGACTACATAGCAACAAAGAGTTTTGCATTTGTCGACCAAATTTCCAACGGAGGGCAGCAGATACAAACAATTTTTCTCTCTTTTGGACTTACTTCTTCAAAGAATCCCTCCAACAACAAATAACAAATGCTTTGTAATTATCATTTTTTTTCGATGTAAAAGCAGTCACTGATTCCCAACAACATATTGCTGCAGTATGATTAATTTAATCTGCTTACAAACGCAATTGATGCGACAAATCAATTTTGATCAATTTGACGAGAAATGTTAGGTCCGAAATGGTGAAAAACGCTATGTACATGAGACCATGCCATTGCCAGTGAGAACAAATAAAGAACAATGAGTGATCTTCCTTTTCAACTTCTGCAACACAAACAATCTTCTTTCCAATGTTATCACCCTGAAAGAGTCTATGAAAGCGGAGGGGATGCTCTCCACACCATTTGATATGTCTTCAAGTGGCTGGATTTTGCCATTACGGAGGTGATCACCAATCGTTGAAACGAAATCTGCATACAAATTAATGTGATCCGAGACTAAAAATCCCTGGATTTTGATTCTCTTGTACACAAATCTAGCATAGGGAGAAGCTCTTTTGCTAGCATTCGTGTACTCAGATGCAACACAAACAATCTTCTTTCCAATGTTATCACCCTGAAAGAGTCCTATGAAAGCGGAGGGGATGCTCTCCACACCATTTGATATGTCTTCAAGTGACTGGATTTTGCCATTTCGGAGGTGATCACTTATCGTTGAAATGAAATCTGCATACAAATTCAAGTGATCGGGGACTAAAAATCCCTGAATTTTGATTCTCTTGTACACAACATCTAGCATATTGGGAGCAGCTCTTTTGCTAGCATTCGTGTACTCAGAGATCACCCCACAAGCAGCCACTCTGCCGAATAAGTTCATGTTAGCAACTGCTGCTTCTAACATCTCTCCTCCCACATTGTCAAAATATATGTCAATCCCATCAGGGAAGTACCTGGACATTATATTTAAAGATGTTCAGTGTAACATATACTTGATGTTAACTGATCTAATTACATACACAGTTTAATAGATGTTCTAATTACCTCCCCAGTGTAGCCTTCAGGTCAAGTTCTTCTTTGTAGTTAAAGGCGTCATCAAAACCAAGCTTCTCCTTTAGTAGTGCTACCTGTATATGCTTAATTTTAGTGGGTATAAGCATTTAGGACCCTTACAAGAATCACAGTTCAAACTTGAAATTAATTAGTAATTGAAAGCCCTCCAGATAATTTTTTAGAATGACCTTTTCATTGTTTCCAGCGCTGCCAACTACGTAACAACCAAACAGTTTGGCAAACTGTCCGACTAAGTTTCCAACTGATCCAGATGCACCAGAAACAAATACTTTCTCTCCCTTCCTGGGCTCACAGATTTCAAAAAATCCGGAATAGGCTGTAAGTCCACTATATCCTGCAAAAACACACACACACATCCAATTCCAATATGAATTAATGCAGTTACCATATAATATCTTGCAAAAATGGCACAGTTCAAATAGACATGAGCACGAGCACTGGAAAATCCTTAGTCCCTAAGCCCCCAGGATTCATCTGAGTATTATATATGGATCAGCTGCCGCTTGTTCGACTTTAAGTGATTGCTTTTGATAGCATATACAGTATATATACAGGCGGAGGGTGGTCCAATACTCATTTGTTAGGATGATAAAGCCGTCCACGGTGCTTGGCCTCTTTTAAATAATGCATCAAATGCATTTTTAATTTAACCGGAATGATGAATAAAGGAAAAAGTTAATTAATTCACCGAAAATTCCAGCATGGTAAGACAAGGGAAATCCCATTGGTTCCAATTTCCTTAACCCGCCGCCACCTTTGACAAGTTTATACTCTCCCCAGCTGATTAACCCAACTACCAATTCATCCTTTTGGAATTCAGGATTCCCAGAAACAACAACTTTCGCCACACCATGACCGTCAATGGCCTGTCACACAAATGATGAGCTATAAATAAACTATGCATTACCTCACTCATCATAATCAAATTAATTAATTATTACTTACTTCACCAGGAGTAATTCGTGCTGCACCAACTATTGCTTTGTGTGATGGGCTATAACTCTTCATGCGGTTAATCTGATAGGGATCAATTGACACATAGAGAGTTTTCACAATTACATCATTGGATCCATCCTCAATTGATAGAGCAAGAGCTGCACTCTTCAGCTCGAAGTCGGACTCCTTTGGTGCACCTTCTATGTGAGTCTTTATTGTTATGTATCTGTTGTTCACTTCCATTTTAATCTTCTTACTTGGTGGTAATGGTATATGCCAATGGGGTTTATAAAGAAGGTGAGCTAACTGGTTTATCGTTACAGTTTCACTTGCGGAAGAATCAATTTGCTGCTACTCATTTTGCAATTATCATCCTGACACCTTACTCCAACTCGCTTTAAACGTTTCACTAGTCACCACTCACCATTAACCCATGGGCCATGCCCTTCAATTCCTTATCTCCATCAACGAGTGGACCATAAACCACGCCCATTATGAGTTTTTATCAGTGAGTTGATTTTAGAAACGGTAACTAAAATAATTTTGTTCTTTTCTTAAAACGAGAGAATCTAAATTTCAGGAAATTGCTTTCTTGTATTATACCTTAATTAAGGGTTTAGGGTTTAATCATTACAATTTTTTCTATAGAGAATGAATACGTTGGCCTACAACAAATAAGCTGAATTTTAACATAATATTACTAACTGGGATGGATATTCCATCATTCATTATGTGATGACTATTTAGTTGATAGCCCGGAAATTCGTTAAGACAATAGTTAAAAGAAAATATTACACTCACAACCTTTTTTCACAATTCGACGTGACAGCTCGTAATTAGTTAACTTATAATGAGTCTCACCCAGGTTTCATCTGATAAATTGCGATTGACCAATTGCTAACTATCACGTCGAGATTGTGAGAGAAAATTTGTGAGAAGAGGTTATGGGTGTAACATTACTCATAGTTAAAATACGATAGAAACAACAACAACACTAGCAATAATAGATGTGACGTTTATTTCTGGTTATCCTAATTAAGCAAAATAAATCATAAATCATTTTACTCTTCTGCAATTAGAACCATCTTTTTCTAATGTTGTGGCCCCGAAAAAGTCCAATGATAGCAGAGGGGATGCTCTCTAGTCTCTACAATAATGGTAATGTCTTCGAGTGGCTGAATTTTGCCAGTTCGGAGGTGGTCACATCAAAGCGATCAGCGGCTAAAAACCCTTGCATCTTGATTATCTTGTACACAATATCTAGCATTTCAGGTGTAGCTCGTCTACCACCATTTGTGTATTCAGAGATTATTCCACAAACTGCTACTCTACCGAAAACGTTCAAGTTGGGAACTGCCGCTTCTTGAATTTCTGATCCCACAATCACATTGTCAAAATATGTATCAATCCCATCAGGGAAGTACCCGTAAATTTGTGGTCTGTTGGGTTGTGAAATTTAATATTTGTTGACATTGAACAGAAATTGTTACCTCTTGAAAGTGGCCTTAAGTAAGTTTCCTCCTTTAGTTGAATGCATCATCAACATCAAACCCAAGCTTCTCTTTTAGAATTGCTACCTATGATCCATTGAAGTAGATAGGAACTTTTTCCAGTCAAGTGCTTATATCCTTGAGTAACTCACAAAACTTAAAAAATTTAACCCATAAAAGTAACCTTTTCCTTCCTTCCGGCAGAGTCGACTACATAGCAACAAAGAGTTTTGCATTTTGTCCGACCAAATTTCCAACAGATCCAGAGGCAGCAGATACAAACAATTTTTCTCTCTTTTTGGACTTACTTTCTTCAAAGAATCCCTCCAACAACAAATAACAAATGCTTTGTAATTATCATTTTTTTTCTGATGTAAAAAGCAGTCACTAGATTCCCAACAACATATTGCTGCAGTATGATTAATTTAATCTGCTTACAAACGCTAATTGATGCGACAAATCAATTTTGATCAATTTGACGAGAAATGTTAGGTCCGAAAATGGTGAAAAACGCTATTGTACATGAGACCATGCCATTGCCAGTGAGAACAAATAAAGAACAATGAGTATCTTCCTTTTCAATCTTCTGCAACACAAACAATCTTCTTTCCAATGTTATCACCCTGAAAGAGTCCTATGAAAGCGGAGGGGATGCTCTCCACACCATTTGATATGTCTTCAAGTGGCTGGATTTTGCCATTACGGAGGTGATCACCAATCGTTGAAACGAAATCTGCATACAAATTAATGTGATCCGAGACTAAAAATCCCTGGATTTTGATTCTCTTGTACACAGCATCTAGCATATTGGGAGAAGCTCTTTTGCTAGCATTCGTGTACTCAGAGATCGCCCCACAAGCAGCCACTCTACCGAATAAGTTCATGTTAGCAACTGCTGCTTCTAGCATATCTCCTCCCACATTGTCAAAATATACATCAATCCCATCAGGGAAGTACCTGAACATTATATTTAAAGATGTTCACTGTAACACACTTGATGTAATTGATCTAAATTCACAGTTGAATAGATGTTCTAGTTACCTTCTCAGAGTAGCCTTCAAGTCAGGTTCTTCTTTGTAGTTAAATGCATCATCAAAACCAAGCTTCTCCTTTAGTAGTGCTACCTGTTTATGCTTAATTTTAGTAGATATAACATTTACTATTCTTGCAAGAGTCACAGTTCAAACCTGAAATTAGTAATTGAAAGCTACCCAGCTAATCCTTTAGAATGACCTTTTTATTGTTTCCAACGCTGCCAACTACGTAACAACCAAACAATTTGGCAAACTGTCCGACTAAGTTTCCAACCGATCCAGATGCACCAGAAACGAATACTTTCTCCCCCTTCCTAGGCTTACAGATTTCTAAAAATCCGGTATAGGCTGTAAGTCCACCATATCCTGCAAAACCACAAGCAGATGCAAAAGTTTCAAACAAAGAAGGCAGTAGCCATATAATCTTATCTTTCAAAAATGGCATAACTCAAATAGAAATGAGCACTGGAAAATCCTGGGTCTCTAAGCCCTGGATGTGTGATTCATCTGAGTAGTATATGGATACATTGACGTATTGCTAAATGGGAATGAATTAAAAGAATGTTAATGATTAATAAAGGGAATAATTAAAGAATTCACCGAAAATTCCAGCATGGTTAGACAAGGGAAATCCCATTGGGTCCAATTTCCTTAACCTGTCACCTCCTTTGACAAGTTTATACTCTCCCCAGCCGACGAACCCTACTACTAATTCATCTTTTTGGAATTCAGGATTCCCAGAAACAACAACTTTCGCCACACCATAACCGTCAATGGCCTGTCACACAAATGATGAGCTATAAATAAACTATGCATTACCTCACTCATCATAATCAAATTAATCAGTTATTACTTACTTCACCATGATTAATGGGCGCTGCAGCCACTGTTGCTTTGCGTGATGAGCTATAACTCTTCATGCGGTTAATTTGATACGGATCAATTGACACATAGAGAGTTTTCACAATTACATCATTGGATCCAGCCTCAATTGATAGAGCAAGAGCTGCATTCTTCAGCTCGAAGTCGGACTCTTTTGGTGCACCTTCTATGTGAGTCTTTATTGTTATGTATCTGTTGTTCACTTCCATTGTAACCTTCATACTTGATGGTATGTGCCTTGGTGTTTATAAAGAAGGTAAGTTAATTGGTACATCTTTTTTCACATGTGGAAATTTCAGGATCAATTTGCTGCCACTCATTCTTCAAAAATATCGGACACCTTAATTCGTCTCCAACTCGCTTTAAACGTTTTCACTAGTCACCAACCCGTGGGCCGTGCCCTTCAATTCCTTTATTTCCATCTTGACAAATCACTTGCCGTATGCGCTTATCTACATTCCAATCATGCTATGAAAAAAATCACATCATAGTACTATAATTAATTAATTAATTATTTGTTACATAGGAATGAGTTAAAAGTAGAGATATTAAAAAAAAAAAATGTAAAAAGTAAACTAAATCGGTTATCAAATTGAAAAACCAGTTAACCAGAAAAACAGTTCAGTTGCGGTTCAAAGAATTCAAAAAACCAGATTTTAAATTCGGTTTTCGGTTCAAGTAAAAATGAAAATCGATTAACTGAAACCGATTTTTTGAACCGGTTTACTAAAATATATATATATATATATATATAATAATAATCGTAATCTCTAAATTTACATAATTTCTTTGTTGTTTTCCATTATGACTTATTTAGTTATTATGTTGTTTTATTATGGACGTTTTATTACCGACTCTTATTTTTGTTTAATTTGAAACTTTAATTTGTATCAATTTTTAATGTATTGTTAGTTGTGATCAATTGATATGTATGAATGTTTAATTTTTATTTGGATATATATTATTGATGTTTATAATTTAATTTAGGAAAAATTAAAATTTCGGTTAATCGAAAAATCGGTTTTTCCCCCAAATCGGTTCAGTTTCGATTCAAGAATTTTTCTAAACCGAAAAAGCGATTCAGTTCAAGAAAGCAGTTAACCGCTTTTGAACACCCCTAAATAAAAGAATGTTAATGAAAAAATTAATTAAATCACCGAAAATTCCAGCATGGTATGACGGGAAATCCCATTGGGTCGAATTTCCTTAAGCCGCCACCTTTTTGACAAGTTTTTACTCTCCCCAGCTGATTGACCTTACTACCAATTCCTCTTGCTGGAATTAAGGATTCCCAGAAACAACAACTTTCGGCACACCATGACCGTCAATGGCCTGTCTCAGTGTCAACCAAATGAGGAGCTATCTATAAACTATGCATTACCTCGCTTGTAATAAATAATTAATTATTAGTTCGCCAACGACGCCAAGCTATAACTCTTCATGCCGTTAATCTGATAAGGATCAATCGACAGGTAGAGATTTTTCACAATTACATCATTGGATACAGGCTCAATTGATAGAGCAAGAGCTGCTCATAGCAACTGATTTTGGACTATAAGACCAAAACTAAAATTAAAATAATACTAATAATAAGAATATATAGACTTTGACGCTCAAATAAAATATTACTGAAGACTTGAAAATTATAGGATTATTATTGTTGTGGAATGTCAATGCAACTATAACAATGAAGCTCAATTTTATTTTTATCGAACGTCAATGCAACTACCAATGACGCTCAAATTAATTAATTTATTTTTAATTCCTTTTATTGAATACATCCGCCAAGAAATAGTTATTGGGCCTTGGGGTAGGAGGAAGATAAATCAACAAATATACCTTAAACCATGCCCATTAGCATTACTGAGTTTTTATCAGTTAGTTGATTTTAGAAAGAAAAAAAAAGGCAATTAAAATAAATTTATTTTTTCTTAAACTGATAGAATCTAAATTTCATGAAATTGCTTTCCTGTATTATACCTTTGATTGAGGGTGGGTCAGGGTCAACCCAATGGGATGCATATGAACAGGAAGCATATAGCTCAAATTTATTTCTGTTCACTGTTGTTTTAAAGGACTTTTTTTTTTTCAATTATTAAAACCTCGCAGGAGATGCAGAGAGTTAAAATTGCAATTTTTTCTGTAGAGACACAATACATTGGCCTACAACAAATAAGCTGAAATGTATTATAATATTACTAACTGGGATGGACATCAGATTCCATCATTCTTTATGTGAATACAATTAACTTGATAGCCTGGAAATTTGCTATGACAATCGTTAAAATATGATAGAAACAACAGCAACAGCAACTGGTGGGATGTTTATTTCTGGATAAACTAAATAAGTCTTAATTCATTTTACTCTTCTGCAATTTGAACCATCTTCTTTCCAATGTTATGGCCTCGAAAAAGTCCAATGAAAGCATAGGGGATGCTCTCTACGCCGGTGGAAATGTCATCGAGTGGATGAATTTTGCCAGTTCGGAGGTGGTCACAAGTTGTTGATATGAAATCTCCATGTACATCAAAGTGATCAGCGGCTAAAAACCCTTGCATCTTGATTCTCTTGTACACAATATCTAGCATTTCAGGTGCAGCCCTTCTGCCACCATTTATGTATTCAGAGATTATTCCACACACTGCTACTCTACCAAAAACGTTCATGTTGGCAACTGCCGCTTCTTGCATTTCTGCTCCCACATTGTCAAAATATATGTCAATTCCATCAGGGAAGTACCTGGAAAATTGGGGTCTGTCAGGTTGTGAAATTTAAACAATTTTATTGTTTGTTGAAATTGAACAGAAATTGTTACCTCTTGAGAGTGGCCTTTAAGTCAGTTTCCTCCTTGTAGTTGAATGCATTATCAAAACCAAGCTTCTCTTTTAGCACTGCCACCTGTGATATTCCATTGAAGTAGATAAAAACTTTTTCCAGTCAAAGTGTCTATATCCTTGAATAAATCACAAAAATCAATTAATTAATTAACCCATAAAAATAACCTTTTCCTTGCTTCCGGCAGAGCCCACCACATAGCAACCGAAGAGTTTTGCATATTGTCCGACCAAATGTCCAACAGATCCAGAGGCAGCAGATACAAACACTTTATCTCCCTTTTTGGGCTTACATACTTCAAAGAATCCAGCATAGGCGGTAAGTCCACTAAACCCTGCAACAACAAACACCAGATGCTTTGTAATTAGGAAAAAAATTGAAATCAAAATTTTTCTGATGTAAAAGGCATTCACTGGATTCCCTACAGCATATTGCTGCAGTATGATTAATTTTATCTGCTTGCGAACGCTAATGGATATTGGTTTGGGCTGAATACTGTTTCTTTTTCTAATTTGCGTAATTCAGCCAATTGTGAAGACAATCTTGCATAATTTATCACGTTATACAGCAAACACGAAACAGGCTATAGTTAATCTATATAAGATTTATCGCTTGGCCAAACTTGATATGTTATTTAAATGAGCCTACGGCTAGCTGGCTGAAGTATTTCTGATGACAACAAAATTTCGATTTCGATTGTAGTTGTAGCAATTCCTTCAAGTTCATTATTTCTCTGTTCATTAATTATGTATAAGCAAAGCAATCTCTCGATGGTTTATATAGAGACAGGATAAGGAAACATTGAGATACAGATTATGGTCAGGATCATGATGTTGATGTAACAGATAGATGTCGATGATGAATTGATTACCTAAAACTCCAACCTGGTAAGACAATGGAAATCCCATGGGGTCAAATTTCCTTATCATTCCACCTGGTTTCACTACACAATACTCTCCCCAAGAGAAAATCCCTACTACCAAGTCATCCTTCTCAAAATGTGGATTCCCAGAAACAACAACTTTGGCCACACCATAAGCATCTATAGTCTGCAACAAAAAGAAAAAAAGAAAAAAAACTTGGGTATTTGAAAGTGATAATCTTACTCGAGGGAACCGAAAGCATCACGAGATTGACTTACGTCGCCAGGATTAACGGCAACCGAATAACTTGATGTGCCCTGAGAGGAGCTGGCAGTCTTCATGCGGTTTAACTGGTAAGGATCAATTGATACATAAAGAGTTTTCACAATAATATCAGTGGAACCAGGCTGAAGTGTCAGAGGAAGAGCAGCAGCCTTTATCTCAAAGTCGGACTCTTTGGGTGCACCATCTACATGATTCTTTATTGTAATGAACCTGTTGCTCACCTCCATTACAGCCTTCTCAATCCCCAGTGGCTCGTGCCGTCCGACCTCTGGGTGGTTTGAATTTATAAAGAAAATGACGTTGAGATAAATGAATACTAATTATACACAAATGGGAAGCTGATGAAGAAATTTATAGGCTCTCAGTCAATGTAAGAGTTGATGTTGTCGGTTGGATGTAATGTGTTAACTGTGGGCTCAAACTCAAGCCACAAATAGCCGTACCATTATCCGCCTTAGAAAATAAAAGGGATTTTTCTAAAAGATTTATTGAAAAATGGCAGCTGATACGACACCCACCGAAGGTCAGCTGTGAAGAACATGACAAGTCGGAATCAATGTTTAAGAAGGGCGCTGCGAAGCTAAGATTCTTATGACAACTTTGCTACTTCATTAAAATAACAAGAAACGATTATGAGTTATGAGTAATGTTACACTTATACAATTTTTTATATCATTTTGTAAACATCATGATGTGGCATATGTTATAACCATACAAATTTTATTATAATATTAAAAATTTAAAATAATTAAAAATTTGTGTGATTGTAACATATACCACATTATGATGTAATGAAAATTGTATAAAAGAGTGATGTAAGTGTAGCATGATTTATTATTACATTTTAGAAACGTGTATATTCTTTGCCGTCCCATTGTTATATATGTAATAAAAAGTAAAAATAATTACTCTATTGTACTCATAACATTGCATTGGGCACGTGATACAGCTGATTTAATCTTCTGTTATTATAGTCACCATAAATTAAGCCCATAAAGTACACCCAATTGCCAATATTATATACCCGAATTTCTATCCATTGTTATTATAAGTGTCTTGTATTAAAGTTATGGAAATATCCAACATACTAGTATCTTGTGTTGATGTTTGATTTTGACATCAATTATTCACACGTGAAAAATACTAAGCGGACTTAAAAGATACACGTGATATGAGAATATTTAGTTAAATGGAGGGAGAAAAACAATGTTTAAAGTGTTTTAGATGCTTAAAAGCGAATCTTACGTCTACTGATATTGTATTAATGAGAGTAAGGTCAGGTTGCATTCAAAGAGCCAAATTACAGTTTAGAGAATACAAGAGAGAGAGAGAGAGAGAGAGAGCGCTATTCAAGAGTGAAATTAGCTAATCCCGCAAATGAGAGAGAAGACCTCTATTTATAGTGGGATAAACTAAGGTAATGATTACTAAATCTGCAAGTGGGTGGATACCGTGCAAATCCTTCTCTGCGTCCCATTGCTCACCTACCCGAGTGATTTCCTAGACTTAAGTAGGGATTGGACACGCGGACGATTTCCAACCATCTGCTAACCTGACACTCACCTACTGCACTGACAGGGGCATGCCATTTACGTCATTATGTGACGTGGGTGTGTCTGAACGGTCGCAAAACATTCCCAAGTTCTGACCATCCCATGCTGACAAGACTCCGTGTCAGCCCTACCTTTTTAGGCATAACACCTTGTTTTATTGATTATCGACTACCTCTATTTAAGACTACTAAGTACCTCATATATCAAATTATTTACACTTTAACTACCACCAGGTGCTCACATGGTAAAAAAGCAAAAGAGGACCTAACATTGTCTTCCAAGTTTGAGTCGCCTTGATAACAAAAGAGCAAGAAGGCAATCTAACATGGTCTCCCAAGCTCGAGTTCCCTTAAGGATAAAAGAGCAAGAAGAGGATCTAACATAGTCTTCCAAATTCGAGTCCCCATTGTTGCTAATAGGGGTGGTCACTAGAGCTCATACTCGATCGATAGTTCCAGGGTCTCGAGGAATTAGTTGAGTTGTGTGTAAGTTAGCCCGGACACACCCTAATCATACAATATATATATATATATATATATATATATATAGTTTCCCGAATTCGAGTCCCCACAGTTGCTAACAGGGGTGACCATTGGAGCTCGTACCTGACCAATAGTTCTACATGCTTTATAGGGTGGGTATTGTTGTTCTTTTTGTTACATTTTGTCTTTCCTTTGGGAAAGTTGCAGCTACACTGGTTGAACTGTTGTGTACTTGGAGTCCTGGGGGTTTGTTTGGGGTTGGGGTGATGGGTTGGTGTCAATGGTGTGCAGTGTGCATTGTAGAGTGCAGAGTGCAATTTTTGTTTAATCTCCAACATGTAGAATGCTAATGAATTCTCAATTCTTAATTAATCTTGTGTTGCCAGGATTGAATTTGATATAATTGATCATGAAAGCCATGTGTCAAATGTGACAATAGGTTGTATAGAAGTTAAATAATGTTGTGAACCAAGACAATTATATTGACCCTGACTTTGAATAATTCGAATATAAAGTAGCTTGTATATAAAAGTATGTAATATTCCTTCACAAATTATCATAGATATTAAGACTTGCACACATCTAACAAATCATAAATGACCAAAAAAGTTTGTATATTCATATTGCCAGATCACATAAATAAATATGTCCATTATGCAATGACTTCTTGACTCAAAAATTGGAGGCAGGCGAACTTGCTCCTCAATCGGAACGCAAATCTCACCTGCTCCTTCTCTGGTGATTATTATTTAATATATTTGTATTTTGAATTGTATAGGAGGGGAATTATGCCTAATCCACAAAATTTATCTCTAAAAACTTATCCAACCGCTTGTTCAATACCACATATCTAACAATTTTGATTTTATTAATAAATAGGCTTTCATTCATATCAATAGACACAATATTAAGTTCTTAACAGCAATGTCTAATGTAGTAGACTTAAGATTTAAGACATTATATTGGTTGCTAGAAAAAGAGAGAACCAGTATGAATCCATTTCTTAGACACATCTCACTTAGAAGAATTTTGAAGCCAGCATATTTTCTTTAAAGAGGAAACATTAACTTAACAAGAGTAGCTTAACCTTCACAGTTCTCCGGCGGAAAGATTAAGAAAATTTTCATGCTTTGTTTATCAATGAATGCACTAAAATCAATTTGCATGCTTTGTTTTCTTTGTGTATAATCTCTCATTCACTAGGTAAGTAAATAGAAAGATTATATAAATTAATTTAATGGAGGTATGATTTATGATTTGAATTAGTGATAAAAGAGTGAATTTTAGTTAATATTAGCATTGTGGTAAATAAAATACTGTTGGTTGTTGGTTGATGACTGTTAGGGCCAAAAAATGTCTTCGGCCCAAATAGGATAACGTGTCTGACAACGAGGAAAAGCCCAGGCCCAATGTTGATGCGGCCCAAGCTAGAACTCCCCGGATAAGGCCCATTTGGTATGAAGTATAGTCGGTCCAAACCATCTGGACACGGGTCTCCTAATCCCAGTACACTTCCTAGACCTATGGTCGAATTCAGAGCCCACAGTCACCTACGGATCACATTCCTACTAAACACTGATAAGGTAGTCCACTACCATCCCAACTCCTCCAAGGTCTATGTCAGAGTCATACTTAGACTCCCTTTCACGCCAGGATAATGAGGCCAAAAGATATATCCCTGGAGGAAACAGATTACTACAAGAACTCCCAATCCCACCAGGATTGGGAGATCAGACAGTCACTATTTAAACAGAGGTCAGCCCTCTCACAAGGGAGATTACATTACACCTTCAGACCTCGGAATTCCCACTTGAAAACTTCACATTACAGCCGTAGTCACAGTCCCCGACTAGACTTCTAGTAACCTCTCTACTCCCTAGCCCTCACTAAATCATCATTTTTCAGCCTCGCTGACTTGAGCGTCGGAGTGCCTATGGCAAACAGCACCCCGGTGTTTTCCGTCGCTTCACGTTTGTTTCTCTACGTGTGCAGGTATAGCCAAATCGCTAGTGGCCTCAACCTCACGGGATCAGTCCTTCCTTCCGGATAGGTTGATTTTTACATCTACAGTTTGGTGCCCACCGTGGGGCCTCTAACAATCATTCGGCTCAACGAACCCTGCTACGTGAAGAAACTTTCCATGGCTGACAATTCTGACAACGCTAACTCGGGCCTCGAGGCCAAATTGGAAGCTTTGATCGCCCTCATGCAATAGAACTCAGATAAGGTGGCCACACTAAAAACTGAGAACACGGTCATCCGGACCGAAAACGCCTCCATCAGGGTCGAAAACCAGTCTCTGAAAGAGAAGGTAAGTCAGTTTTATGATCTTGAGCTTCTACCTTGTTAGGTACCACCCAATCGGTTCCGTGCCTTGGTTCCATCTATGCAGCCTTTCCACACCCCAGAGCACAGACCCGTGGCCTCAGATAAAAGGTCGCGTCAATTATGTTCGTCGGTGGTTGACGATTCGGTGCTGACTCCTGGAGAAAGTGATCTGCCAACGGAATCCGACTCGGTCGATCCGCCTCAGGCACAAAATCAAGGCGTCCAAGTGACAGAAAGCCCGCTGCAACAAGAACCACCCATCCTCGCCATCCCACCTCACCTTCAGTCAACCATCCCTCCACAAACTCCATTCGACTCGGTTCACCCATGCGGGTCGAGTGGTGACCCACATCAAAACATCCCGCTCGAGTCCATCCATCCCAACGGACCGAGTGAGTACCAAACAACCCCCCTAACCATTCATGTCGGGCGAAACACCTGATCAGTTACAATGGGAGTCACCCAACCGGAGGGAATGAACGGTGATCCAAGCTACCAAGCAATACACAAAGGAATGATCCACCAGGTTACACCACGTGGAATGACCCAACAAAACATGCCGAGTGCGAATCCTATGGCCGACCAAGTCAAGCGGGATGACCTACTGATACCCCCCTCTCCCATGGAACAGATATTGGCCAAGAGACTGGCCGACGTAGAGGAAGTGATGAGACGCATACCAGGAATGTCGATCCCCACCAAAAAGAGCAAGCCCTATTGCTACGCCGATTCGCCCTTTGTGTATGCAATCGCGCTAGCCGACATGTCCCACAAATTTACTATCCTTGGCATGAAGCCCTATGACGGCACAACCGACCCAAATGACCACATAGCCTCTTACAAGTAGCGGATATTCACTGTCTCGATACCCCGAGCACTGAGGGAAGCCTACACGTATAAGAGTTTTGGTTCAAGCTTATCTGGTCCAGTACTTCAGTGGTACACCAATCTCTCGAACGGTTCCTTCGACTCATTCGCACAGCTCACCGACACCTTCGTGGAGCAGTTCGCCAACAGCAAAAAACTCAAG